CCTGAATCACTGTTCTACACATTAAGCTGCAACCATGAAGTGGGTAGTGTTAACTTATTTTATTTTTCTCTTCAGTTCTGCTACCTCCAGAGATTTAAGCCGATTTGCTCAAGAGGCAGGTAAGAAAGATCTGCATTAACTACTTGCTTTTGTACCAAGTCCTCTCATGCTTTGTAGTACTGTTTCAGTGGTTTTTAATTTTGCAGAATTTCAAAACTGAACTTTAAAGGTCTGCTCCAAAGTCCACTGAGGTCAATGGATAAGCACCCTTTGACTGCAGGGAGTTTTGAACTAAATGTTATAGCCAACTGGGTTTTTGAATAAATAAATCTTTGCAGAAACAGACTGGAAAACTGAAAACCTCCAAACCTGCATAATTACTATTACAAGCTGAACATTTTTAGTTTGACTCAGTATTCTCTATTGTTAGCCAAACAACACAGTACATATTGCATTTGGTAGTTTTTAATGAAAACATGAATATTCTCTCCTTAAAATGATAAAAAAATAACAAAAATATTTCCAGTTTGCTTAAGTTTTCATCATAATCCCCTTCATTATCTAACCAGTTCTAGTAATTACATGCTATCTACCCACAGTTTCTTCATTATTTTCAGTTAGGTGAGTGATTCTTCACTTCCAGAAATTTAAGTGGTCCTCCTGGAGCAAAATGATTGCCACATTCCAGAGGTGGTTGCACTGCAGTGGTGGGTGAAAGTTTCCCATATACATATGCACACATACATTGAAATGTGCTGTGGGATGCTTCTGAAGTAGAGTTGTATAATTATATGCTATAAAATGTACATGTAGGGCAAACTGTAAACTTTTATTTGACCCCACTTCTCCCAAAGAAAACTGGTGACTTGTACACTCACGGGATATGTAAAACTGAGCCTTGCTATGCTTTTCTTTTTTTCTTTTCTTTTTTCTCCAGAATATAAGAATGAGATTGCTCACCATTTCAACAATTTAAAGGAAGAGCATTTTAAAGCAGTGTAAGAGACCATAAAGTTATAGTTTGTGTAATGGTGATGGTCTACATGTTTTGGGGTGGAAAGGGGAGAAAGTGTGTTATTTATTGATAAAATACAAAGGCCAATATAAACAAGGAAAACTAAAGTGTTAACCTTTGAAATATCAAGCTTCCTTGAGTCCTAGAGCAGTTTCAGTTCTACATTTGGGATAGTCTCAGGAGTTTCTGCTAACTGCTGAAGGATGGAACTAATCTTACTGGGCAGGGTATGTAGAGAAATTCATTGGCTTGTACTCGGATGAGTCAGCTTGACCAGTGTTTTTTTAAGGGGCACATGAAGATAACTAGAGTTGCTAGAGAACCATTTAAAAACATCTTTGGGGAGCAACTTTCTACAGTCAATATTTTTTAGCAATTCATAACATCTGCCTGCATGTGTCCTGGGTATGAGTAACAGGAAACACACAGGTGATTAGACCTTAATCCAAGGTACTTCTACTCAACACATACACTCCTGGAGGGAGATGGGATTAAAGAGGAAATAGGTTGCAGGATTATGCATTTAAGTTTACTCATCTCATATATGAAAGTAATTTGGATTCAGTCTTGCACTCACATCCATTTCTTCATGATTATTTAGAAAGCATTGTGTACCCATAATGAGATGCCTTGGAGCATCAGACTCTCTCTCAAACTTTACTGGCCAGATTTTAACCACAGATTCTCTCTCAATTCTGGTTGCCACGGATTAAAAAAAAGTCTCTGAATCCTTCTTACATGTGAAGAAAAGTGGTGGTTTGGTTTTGTTGTTGTTTGCTCATTCAAAAACATGCCTTTTTTCAGCACCATCATCACATTTGCCCAGTACCTCCAGAAGTGCTCCTATGAATCAATAAGTGAACTGGTGAAGAATGTTGTCGATCTTGCACAAAGCTGTGTTGCCAATAAGGATGCTCTGGCATGCACAAAATCACTGGTAGGCAAAGCATCCATGGTTACAGTGATTCTTCTATTGTGTGATACAACACTTAGTAGTCATTCTTAAACAAAGAAAATGTTAGGTCTATAAACTTTGAAGACACCCAGTTTTTGAGTCTACCAGCAAGTCACCCTCCAACTCGATATTTTTAAACCACCAGATTCAAAGAGCAGAGATTTTCAAAATGCCTGCATGACTCCGGAGCCTAAATTCCATTGGCTTTCTCTGGGACATAGATTTTTAATTTACTGCGGAGGAGGGCGGGGGAAGGGGGGAGAAAATGTTTAAACATATTTAGGGGCCTAGAAATGGACATTGAGGCCATGTCCACATGAGCAAGCACGTGTGGCTTTTGAGGCACTGAGAAACACCCCACCCAAGTGATTTGGTTTTCCACGCTGCATATTTGCAGCAAAGAGCAAAATTTAGATACTAGGAGATCCTGGTATAAAAAAAAAGTGTGTGAAAAAATTGGGGTTGTGCACGTGGCAGCGGCATGCGCTGCTCCAAAACTGGAGCCTGACTGGCCAGAGCCATGCTCCAGCTGCTGGCCAGGCTCTATGCACCCAGATCGCCACTGCTGGAGCCCCAGAAGGCCCCCAGAACCTTAGGGAAGGCTGCTGGGGCTAGTCAGGTGCTGGCCTCAGCCTCCCCTCCCCTACCTCTGGAGCATTTTCCCCCATACTAACCCCATGTGCAGGGGCATGTGCTGGGGCAAAAAGCAACCTGACATATTAAGTATAGTGTTGACTAGAAAGAACTAGTTGATAATATGAAGGGGACTGTAAACTGGGGAGGAAATGATCATGGTATGCTAGAGTTCTGAGACAGGGAAATGATTCTAAGATAGGAAGAGCAGAAGGTTAGAAGTAGTAAAATACTAGATTTCAGGAGGGTTGATTTCAACCACCAAAGGAAAAAATTGGTTAGGTCCCTTGTATGGATAGACTGACAGATAAAGGAGCCCAGGAGAGCTAAAAGTTTTCTAAAGGACATGGTATGGGAGGCTCAACAAGAAACTGTTCTGATTTGGAAGAAAACACAGGAAGAACAGCAGAAGGCCAAATACATGGGGATCTTCTTGGCTCAAAATCAAAAAGAAAACCTACTAGTAAAGGAAGGATGAACAAAACATTAAGGATGTATACCAAGAATTAGCAAGAACTTGCAGGGACAAAATTAGGTATACCCTGTGATATTATGCAATTATGTACCCATGCAATTTTGTGCATAAATTGCATAATTTAACTGCAGTGGTCTTGTGCCTCCACCTCTGTGGGGCTCCTGGCACTCCAGCTGGGAGCCCCATGATGTGGATGCACAGAGCCATGTGACTGGTCAGCTGGGTAAGTGGGGATGGGAGCTCCTGGCTGCAGGGGGGAGGGTGGGCTTGGGGGTGATTGTGGGGGTGTGCAGGATTTGTAGGTGGGTATGGGCTGCACAGCATCAGGCTGGGTGGACTCCGTGCCTCTATATGGGGCTTCTAGCACTCCAGACTGGCCTGATGGCATGTGACTCCATGTGTCCATGTGTGGCTTCCCATTGGCAGTCCCACGTGGAGGGCTGATGGTGCGTGGACTGGGAGCCACATGCCATTGGGCCAGGAGGGAAGCTGCACATGGAGGCACAGACTCACATGCCATTGGGGCAGTTGGGTTCCTGCTTGTCTCTACATGCAGCTTCCCACTGAAGTGTTGGAAGCTCCATGTGGAGGCATGGAGCCCATCTGGCCCAGTGATACAAAGATCCCAGTCCACGTGCCATCAGGCTGAGTCGGCTAGCTCTGTGCCTCTATGTGGGGCTGCTAGCACTCCAGTGGGAAGCTGCACATGGAGGCATGGTGTCCACCTGTTCCAATGATGCACAGCTCCTGCCTGTAGTGCTACAAGTCCCACATCCTGGCATGGAGACAACCTGTTTTTGTTTGAAGGTACGTGCCAGCAGGCCAGGCTGGCTCCATGCTAGCACATGGAGGTTCTGGGACTCAGTCAGAGGTGCATGCTGTCAGGGGTTCTGCCTGCCATGGCCATAAGCACCATGAGGGCCTGCTGCTACTCATGGGCACTGTGCACCATGGGGGGTGTGTGGCAGGGGGGCTCATACCCACCCACAAACCCAACACACACACACCTACACCCCCTGCAACTCTTCACAAACCACCTCCACAAACCCCACACCCACACCCCTGCATATCCCCTCATAACCCCACCACAAACCCCACACCCA